CTCTGGCTGATAGTTACAAGTCGTTAAAAAGACAATAAATAAATGAAGAAAAATTAAGACCAAAGCTGTCAGAAAGAAAGAAAAAGACCAAATTGGATGGATGTCAGAAGAGTCTTACTTGCTCATGAACATAAAGTAGCTAAGTGAATGAGAAAAATGATCAAATAAAAGAGCTGCAGGAAATTTCAAAGGGCAGCTTGAGGAGACGAAGTAAAGCATTGTGGTGAAGTGTGCAGAGCCCTGGGGTTAGACAATGAAAAGGGAGAGCACCCTGGCATAGCTCAAGTTGGAAAAACCCAAGTATCAAGTTCTGATATTGAAGGATTCTTGGGCAAAACATTGAATGATGCTGAAAGTATCAGAAGGATATGAAAGACAGAGTCACAGCACACAAAAGAAGTGGTCACATTCACCCTTCAAGAGTGACACGTGGTCAAGAGCCAGTGGTCCTGAAGAAGTCCAAGTGCTCTGAAGGCATTCGTTTTCAGGAGACAAGGCTCCAGGAATTGATGTTGAAGTATTTCTAAAAGTTGATAGAAGTACTCACTTGCGTATGTCAAGAAATTTAAAAGACCACTACCTGGCCAACCATCCGAACGAGATCCATTTTAGATGGCTCTTGACTAAAACCAGAGACTACCAGAAAAATGTTTACTTGTGTTTTATCGAGCGGGGAAAGGAATCCCAGAACATTTCGTTGTGCTCATTTGGAACCTGTACATGGAACAAGAGGCAGTGAGAATAGAGGAGAAGTGTGTGTCGGGTTGTGTTCTTCCACCAACTTTGTCTGTCTGCTGAGCAATAATCTGAAAAGCTGGATGGTATGAAGAAAAACAAGGCCTAAGGATTGGAGGTAGACTCGGCCTTCGATATGCGCTTGACACAGATGACTTGCTGAAAGGGAGGAGGACTGGACGCACTTGCTAGTGGAGATCAAGGGCTGCAGCCTTTGGTATGGATGACAACTCAATGTAAAAAAAACCCTCACAACTGAACCAACCAGTAGACAATATGATAAATGGAGAAAAGATAAAGTCAAGGATTTCCCTTTGGTTGTGTCTACAGTCAGTGCTTATGGAAGCAAATAAACAAAAAACGCATTGCCGTGGAGTCAGTGCCAACTCATGGTGGCCTTATAGGACAGGGTGGAACTGCCCGTTTGGGTTTCCGAGCTCTTTATGGGAGTAGAAAGCCCAATCTTGCTCCCGCAGAGCAGCTAGTTGTTTCAAACTGCACCTTGAAGATCACCACCCAATGCATAACCACTCTACCACCAGGACTCCCTATTGGAGGCAGCAGTCAAAAAGTCAGAGTGCATTTGCACTGAGCAAATCTACACAAAACCTCTTTAAAGTGTAAAAAAGATGTCAGTTAGAGGACGCGGGTGTGTCTGTACCAGCACATGGTTTTTCAGTCCCTTCATAGGCACGTGAAAGCTGGACAGCGCAGAAGGAAGACAGGAGGAGACTGCGTGTATCTGAATCGTACTGATAGGTCATACTGAAAGTACCACGACGGCCAGAAGAACTTTCTCGGAGGAAGTTACAGCCAGAATGCCCCTTGCAGCACGTTCCTTAGTTTAGGTGTGATAAGGGGACAGACCAGGCCCTGAAAAAGGACATCATGCTTGTAAAGGTCAGTGTAAAAAGAGGAAGGCCCTAAATGAGATGGATTGCATCAGTGGGCTCAGACAGGGCAAATGTGAGGATGGCTCAGGGCTGGGCAGCATTCGGTCTGTTATTCATGGGGTCGGTTCTAGGGCACCAACGCCAACAGGAAGCGCCTATAGTGAGTGCTTGCTATGTGGCAGCACTCTGGAACAGAGTAGCACGCTGCGTCTTCACCCGACCCTGTGAGCTATGCTTAGTGTTTTCATCTCTCCGAAGCGAAGAGCCTCCAGCCCAGAGGGGTGGAATAACAACACCTTACATGCCGAGTGACAAAGCCACACAGCCAGTGCAGGCACAGCCCGGGGTTGAAGGCGGACATCGTGCAGCCCGAGCCCAGGTCCTCCTCCTTTTTTTTTTTTTTTTTTTTTAAAAAATTCTTTTTTTGGGGGGTTTTTTTTTTTTGTTGTTTTTCTTTTTTAAAACATTTTATTAGGGGCTCATACAACTGTTACCGCAATGCACACACACACACATCAATTGTGTAAAGCGCATTTGTACATCATTCTCAAAACATTTTCGCTCCACTTAAACCCCCGGCATTAGGTCCTCATTTTTCCCCTCCCTCCCCGCTCCCCCCTCCCTCATTGGAGGCTCTTAAATAGCTCTTATAACAATCTGTACACCAGTTGTATCAAGCATATTTGTACATATGTTGCCATCATTACTTTCTAGACATTTACTTTCTATTGAGCCCTTGCTTTGCCTCCCTGTGGTGCTGACAGTGTCCTGGTCTGCAGTTGGTGCCAGGCTCAGGGTCTGCAGGGCCATCTCGCCACCACAGATACCACAGTGCAAGGACTACGGGCAGCCAGGTGCTTCTGGGGAATACAGAACAGTCCATTAAAGCCCCCGGGGGTGGGGGTGGGGGTAAGGGGACATTTGTATATTTCACTTAATCTTGTGAGGTCAAATTCAGTAAGAATAAACTGAATGAAGTGTAATGATAGAAAATAAAGGTTTTATTTCAATGATTATTTTTTTCATTTTTATATGTATAGATAATCTTAAACTTTTTGTTTCATAATTCACATACTATAAAATCTACTTCTTAAAACTGTGCATATTGGTGGTGTTTAGGTCTATTCAGAGTTTGCACAGCTATCTCCACAGTTTTAATTCCCGAGCAGGTTCTTCACCCCAGAGAGAAACTTTCCCATTATATGGATCTATCACATTCACCCGTTCATTAGTGGGTGCACATTTGGGTTGTCCATTGCCTGTTTATGAGTGATATAGCTGCAAACAGGAGCCCTGGTGATGTAGTGGTCTGAAAGGTCAGCAGTGCGAAAACAGCAGCTGCTCCAGGGGAGAAAGATTGCTTTCTACTCCCATAAAAAGTTACAGTCTCAGGAACCCAGGGGCAGCTCTACTCTGCTCTTTATGGTTGCTGTGAGTCAGCATCAACTCGAAGCCAATGAATAGTAAAAAAAAATTGCTATGAGCATTCATAGACACGATACTGTGCAGAACTAGGCTTCCAGGTCTGGGGGTTATATGCCTAGGAATGGAATTGCTGGGTTACAGTGTGTGCATTTCCACTGTTTGAGAGGCTGCCAGACTTAGAGTGTCTGTGCCATTTTGCATTCTCACCAACAATGTCTGGGAGGCCTCACTCACCCCGCCCTGCCCTGCCTAGCCCGTTTCTGTCCATCTGTTGTGTTCCAGCCAGCTCAGGACGTGTGAAATGGCATCATCTCCTTGTGGTTTGGGATTGCATTTCCTTCATGTGAGTGAGGATCAGCTTCTGTGTGATGTGTGTGTTAGCCACTGTATAGCTTTTTTTGAGAAGTGTCTAGTCAACTCCTTTGGTCATATTTTCTTTTCATTTTTATGTGTAAGATTGCATTTTTGGTGAACTAGTACACAGCAGAACATGGTGCTCAGTGACTGCTTCCATTCTTCAGTTTGTGTCAACGTTCATTCCCATGATCCTGAGCTCACCCCGCCTGGCCTTTTCATCTAGCCTGCGAGTACTTGCTTACCGCATGGTCTTTTTAAAGGAGACAGCACACCAAGGTGACAGTCTTCCCGTAAGAATTCATCATCAGAACAAAAAATCTTACCACAGTGAATGAGGGGTGGTGGTGGTGCGGAGTGGAGACCCAAAGCCCATTTGTAGGCCACTGGACATCCCCTTACAGAAGGGTTTCAGGGAGGAGGCAAGCCAGTGCGATGTAGCAACGATGAAACATACAAAGTTCCTCTAGTTCCTGAATGCTTCCTCCTCCCCCACTAGCATGATCAGAATTCTCCCTTGCAAGTCTGGCTAGACCAGAGGAGGTACACTGGTACAGATAGGAACTGGAAACACAGGGATTCCAGGGAAGATGATCCCTACAGGACCAGTGGTGTGAGTGGCGATACAGGGAGGGTAGAAGGAGGGTGGGTTGGAAAGGGGGAACCGATTACAAGGATCTACATGTGACCTCTTCGCTGGGGAATGGACAGCAGAAAAGTGGGTGAAGGGAGATGTTGGACAGGGCAAGAGATGACAAAATGATAATTTATAATTTATCAAGGGTTCATGAGGGAGGGGGAAGCGGGGAGGGAGGGGAAAAATGAGCTGATGCCAGGGGCTTAAGTGGAGAGCAAATATTTTGAGAATGATGAGGGCAATGAATGTACAAATGTGCTTTACACAACTGATGTATGTACTGATTGTGATAAGAGTTGTATGAGCCCTTAATAAAACAATTTAAAAAAAAAAGAATTCACTTACTATCTAGTGGGCCGGTGACTTCAGGAAATATTTTCCAATCAGCTTTAAAACGGACGTTTGGTTTGTTTTTTTTTTAAAGGAGGGAAACCACTGAACCATATTTAGACTTGTGGTTACGAATGGAACCACTAAGGCTTACAGAGGCACACCTCTAAATTAATAAAAATTACACAGTACTGCCAACCTTTAGTAGCATAGTGGTTACCCAATTGGCTGCTAACCACAAGGTTGGTAGTTCAAAACCACTACAGCTCGTTGGGAGAAAGACAGGGCTGTCTATTCGCAGGATGAGTTAACAGTCTGAGAAACCCACAGAGGCCGTTCTACTCTGTGACAGGGTCGGGTCGCTAGGTGTCTGAATCAACTCAATAGCAGTGAGCATGTGTTGTTTTTGTGTGTGTATTTCATTTCTCGATGGAATGTGATGATGAACAAAGTTAAAGATAACAGATTTATTAACAGATATATTATTTCCTGCACTTATTGAGTGACTTTGACTTGAACCTTTTCGATGCTAAAGAGGCTATAGTCCAAGACGTAAAGTCCAGTGTTTGCTTTTGCTATTGTCGGGACGAGGTCCAGATTCACTGTCAGTCTGCTCTGGTTTCTAGGCCTACGAAGAATACACCAGCAAGCTGGATGCCCTCCAGCAAAGAGAGCAGCAGTTACTGGAATCCCTGGGGAATGGCGTGGATGTTTCTGTCTCTAGCTCGGCATCAGCGGACACTGTTACATCTTCTTCCTCTTCCAGCCTTTCAGTGCCACCCTCATCTCTGCCTGCTTTTCAAAGTCCCACAGATGTGTCACGGAGCAACCCTAAGTCACCCCAGAAACCTATTGTCAGAGTCTTCCTGCCCAACAAGCAGAGAACAGTGGTGAGTCAACATGAAATGCCGTCATCTTACTCTCTCTAGGGTAGAGCAGTCATTGGAAATGAGTTACACATGTTTTCAATCACACTGAAAGACATCAGGCAGGTAAGAGCCTTCATTTCATACACGGATGGAAGAGGCATCATCACTTGGTGCTGGGGACTATCTTCCTGGGACGTACTCACTGCCACTGGTGTCAGGGCGACCCTTACACCCACCTCCCGAGCTGGAAGCCAGCTCAGGACTGGGCCCCTGTGACAGGCCAGTCAGCGTGCTTATGCTTGCTGTCTGCCAGGGAGTGCTCAGCCCCAGTCAGATTTCTGATCCAGTGGGGGAGTTTTCTGCATGTTTTTCCTTGGCATTTTTTCCTTCGGACTCCCTGAATCCCACCACTAGGAGAGTATCCCCTGGCCGTGACTTTGGAAGCTGGGTGCTCAGTAACGTCAGTAGTGCAGGCATGGTCCAGTGATAGAGGAAACAGTGTGTCGGTGTACGTCACTCCTTGTAAAATGCATTACAGTTCCTTTTGACACCGTTTCGAAAACAACTTGCTTGTTTTCAAATACAACTGGAGTCGAAGTAGGTTTTAAGTGATATTTTTGTGAACTCCCCCACTCAGAAATGCAGTTAAAAGTACAACCGCTGCCACTCAGAGATCCAAAAGAAGTCTTTTCTGACTTGAAAATAAAGTGTATGATAACAGCACCACACTCCCCAAAGGAAGGGACTGTCGCCTCAGAGATTGGCTGGAGACTGGGTAACAGTGCCTGCCCTCTGCCTGTGGGAGCTGACAGCCTGCAGGAGAGCCAGGGCAGGTTATGGCTGCTGCACAGAGACGCGTGTCTTGATGCTCTTCCTGTCCCTGCTGAGAACGATGGCGTTGGGACATAAGGAAACGGGCTCTGGGTAATTCATGATGAAAGTTATTTGTAACTTTATAGTACCAATTCCGTTTTTCCTCCCATGTCTGCTATCGAATTAGAATGAAATGAAAATGTTTTTCCTGTTTTAAGGTCAGAAATTAACCCCACACTCTCCTTTCCAGCTAGTGTCCCAGAAAGGTCATTAGGCAGATCTGAAAGGGGTGGGGAAGAAGTATAATGGCATTCTGGGGACTGGGGAGATGTTGAGTACAGATTGACTAATAGATAAGACTACATGGGATTGCAGTTAACTGCCCCTAAGTGTGACGGTGATGTGCCCTCTTGCCCCTGTGTGACCTTTTCTGTTTCCTTTGTGTCTGTCTGAGCTGTGCCCCACCCACATCTCACACCGGGAGGAAGGGGTCTCTGGTCCACCTTCTCCTGTTTGGACCCACCCACAAGCATGTCTGCCACAGAACCTTGCAAGGCAGGCAAAACAACGTAGAAGAACGCGAGACAGCAGGGCACACTGGTGGGGGTAAACGGTAGGAATTTTGGAATCCAAGTAGAGAGAATCTGGCTGTCCCTTGTACCATGACCTTGAGTTCTCTGTGTGCTTGAAATTTTTATAATAGAATGTTAAAAATGGAAACAACAGAATAAAGCAAAAGTACATTCGGTACAAAGGTAACAGCTGTCACTGGAAACAGACACTCTACTGACCATGCTGGTGGTGACTGAGGAAGTGGCAAGCTGGCATGGTAGATAAAGTTGTAACGTGCTGAGTGAGTGCCAGTACCTCACTGTTCATGTTTCAGAGCTCAGTGGATGGAGTAGAGAGTTGATGAGATCCAACTGAAAGGAAAATCCATGAACTCTGGAAAGCCAGGCGCGCGCGAGCAGCAGACTCCTCAGAGAAAGGCCAAGCGGCAGGGAGAAGGGACTGAACAGGGAGGTCCAGAGAGGGAGGCTGTGGAGGCAGAGCGCTGAGAAATGATGGCTAATATTTGTCAAAGACACAAATTTAAAGATTCTGGAAGCACCAACCCTCAGTTGGATAAACGTATTTGAATACGCACTATGAGAGAGAGAAAAAATGCAATAAGATTGTTCTAAAAACAAAATTATCCCTAAAAGTACAATTAGATTTCCTAAAGATTTCACCCCGCAGCTATTGAAGCTAGCACACAATAGACCAGCGTACTCAAAATGCTTAGACACGATGGTCAGTCACAGCTAACCGATGAATGAAGGCAGAGTAAAGGTCTTTCTGGACAAAAATGTGCCTTTCACAGGGTCTAGTTGAAGGCACTGTCCCCCAAGCTTCCCTTGGGAAGGACATTGAGCATAGAAGGAGGGGAACAAGAAGTAGGACCCTAAAGCATGTGTAAGGAAACCTTTGTGACCTGGTGTTTGGCGGGGATGTTTTTAGATGTGACACCTGAGCCATAAAAGCACATGGATAAGTTGGGTTTTGTTGAAATGAAAACTTGCCTTCTCCAAAAGGCAATGTCAAGAGGGAGTGCTTTTTTGCAAAGCACATACCTGATCAAGGACATCCATGCAAAAGATGTAAAGAACTCTTAAAGCTCAACAGTAATTCAACTTTAGCATGACCACATACTGCGGGGGAGTGGAGACTCAGAACCACCGTCTTCGGGAGCATCAAGATCAATGGGCTGTGCATCCTACTTTGGTGAGTAACCGCTGGGGTCTTCAGATCCGTGTGCAGTCATCTAAGGTGCTCTCTCCCTGTCTAGAGAAAAGAGGAGTGAAGAAAACCAAGGAACCGCACCAACCTCTGTCTGCGGTCCTGAGAAGAAGGAGGTGGTGCCCAGCTGGGATCACAGGAGAAGATACTGGCTAGAGTAGGAGGAAAATGTGGAACAGAAAACTCTGTCACAAAGAGACCAGACTTAGTAGTTGGCTAGAAACCCTGAGCCTGTGAAGAGCAGTCACGCTCAGGTCTGGAAATGCCCTCAGCCCCCGGCTCAATTCCAGTCAAGCAGTAGCTCTCTTTGGGGGAACAGTGTCACTCGTGAGGCATGCACCCCTTAGAATAATCTACCATTTGTGACCAAAAGGACAGTGCTTACCCAAGGACAGCGTTCATAGGGCTAGGGAAGAAGAGGGAATGGGAACGGAAACACAGTGAGGAGGGGGAAAGTGGTGTCACATTATGGGACTGCGGGCAGTGGCAGGAAACACAGTCTGCAGGGATGGTTGGATGTAACGCTGGTCAACTCTAAACTTTCACCCGATTTACAATAAAACATTTAAAAGTCAACTTTTTACAGGTGTACAACTAACTTACTGTCAGCAATTAATAGTAATTGCCCATTCAGCCCTACCCTTACTCAGTGCCGTTTTCCGTCACTGTTGAGTTGACAAAAGTTGTGTAATCGTATTTACAAGACACTGTAGATAGGTCTACGAAAGTGAAAATACCAGCTGAGGCTACTTAGGCACCTTCCATTCCATGAGTACCCAGATCCAGCAGACAACACAAGTAGGATGGTAGACGGGTCAGACAGCACACTATCAGTGTGCGTGCAGAAGACATGTGTACCTGCACGCTCCTCTCCGGGGCACGTGTGTGTGCCACGAAGAGAACCTCACAGGCGAGAGCGGGTCCGTGGCCCTTGGGGTAAAGGATAAAGGAGGAGCAGTTCTGGGAAACCATAGTTCCTGGAATGTTAAGCACTCTGTTAGTCTGGGTAGGCTAGAGAAGCAAATTCATAAGCACTCGTGTGTATAAGAAAGAGGTTTATATACAAGAGCAATTGAATATTGAGAAAACATCCCAGCCAAGTCCAGATCAAGTCCATAAGTCCGATATTAGCCTATATGTCTGATACCAGTCTATATAAAGTCCTCTTCAGACTCACGAAACACATGCAGTGATGCCAAATGCAGGAAGATAGATCACAGGCCAGTGGGTGGGAAGTCTTGTGGATCCAGTGGCGTTGTAAGCATCTCGGCGCTGGTAGGGATCTCCACGTGGCTCCTCCGGCTCAGGGCACTAGCGTAGCTCCATGTGTCTTCTCAGCTGGAATGTCTCCCAGGGAGTCTGCCTGTGTCCTGTCTTCAGGGAGCTGTTTATCTCCTTAGCACCTCCAGACTCTCTCAAATTGATAACAGATTATGCAACTACCAAAGACACAAGTAACTCATGCACTAGAAAATCATTCTAATGGAAATTAGAGAATATTTGTGTTGTCATTAGGTGCCATGGAATCTTAACATTCCTTGGACCTGCACCACCCTCAGCACCACTGTTAGGATTGAGACCAGTGTTGCAGACAGTGGGTCAGTCTGTTTCGTTAAGGGTCGTTGTCTTTACTAAGCCATGGTATGTTTCTCTAAGGACTGGTCTCTCCTAATAATGCGCTCAAAGGACACGAGACAGAGTCTCACTGTCTTTGCTTTTAAAGCTCCCTTCCTCCAGGACGGCTTGGTTGGTTCTGGCAGTCCTTGGTGCTCCCAGGGCCCCTCACCAGCAGTCGTTCAGGGCCTCAGTTCCTATCTCATCGTCCCTATGCAGTGTCCAGCTTCCACATGCTCGTGAGGCCATTGAAAACACCCACGTGTCTGTACATGGCTTGTAAACACCGAGGTGAAGGAGTAGTTAGAACTGCATAAATCATGAAACTATTGTATAACTTGTGGGTTACGGATGATGAGGCCACGCTAAAAGGAAATTCAGAGCTGTAAAAGTGTATATACAGCGAACCCTCGCCACTTCGCGCTTCGACTTCCGCGGCTTCACTCTATCGCGGTTTTTGCGTTAACAGCGCATGCTCTGTCATTACTGCCACTGATTGGCTCATACTGTACACGCTTGATGCCATAAATAATATAATAAATAATAAATGATAATTGTAACGTCCAAAATGTTTTACTATATTTTCCCTTTTTCGTTTAATAAATTGGGTAATACGAGTGTAATGGTGACTAAAGGGTGTTTTTTCATGTCCTCTATGCTCTAACTACGAAAATATTTGATTTACAAATAAGGAATCCTACTTCGCGGAATTTCATTTATCGCGGTAGGGTCTAGAACCGATTAACCGCAATAAACGAGGGTTCACTGTATTAAAAGTGTATATATTAAAGTGTCTTAAAACATTAGTTAGAACCAGCACATCATCAACCAAAAGAATGTGAAGATAAAATATAATAGAATCAGCAGAATAAATGCTAAATATATGAAAAGACCCAAATCTCTCAAAGAATAAAAAGAAATAAGATGGTGGGGGGTATTGTGTTCAGAAGATATTTTGGAAGGTGAGTACAACAAAGCAGGGGAAAATTAGGAAAATAGATTATTACCTTAGAACAGTGTTTCTAACCTGAGCTAAACACAGAATACTGGGACAGGCCTCCATCCATTAGAGAAATGACCTGTGCTTCCTGCTTCCCAGTGCCCTGGCTTTACAGCTATGAATTCTAGACATTATTTTGGGAAGATAGAATTCTAGTTACATGCAAGTTTTAGTTTCTAAGAAAAGGAAAAGAGAACATTTCTTACCCCAGTTCATGATGTTAATGTATCTTGGTTCTAAAACTATTCGATGACTGAAACTTGAAGGTTAGTTTCATTTGTGGGCACGTTGGCACGCTGAACCCAGAGGATGCTTGTCATCAGAGGCCAGCAGCACTCACTGGTGGAGCAGTGACTGCAGAAAGCCAGGGCAGTTCCTGGAGCGGCTTCAGGAGGCGTCGGCAGCATCGCCCCCATGACCACCTCCAGACACAGTGAGCAAAGGCCTGGCATTCGCTTCGGAACCTGGTGTTTTGTGAGTGGAAGAAGTCGCTGTGCACGTAGAAGGAACAAGAACACACTTCTGTAAAGGATACCTACCCAGTGAGGGACGCTCTTAAAAAGGGAAGCAAAGCCAAAGGCTTGTTTCGTTCTGCTCCAGCTCCACAGATCCGGCCGCCCGCTCCCCCGCCAGCTGACTGGCACTGTGGCAAGCAGTGAGCGCACCTTCACGGCCATGGAGCTGGACAGTGTGCAGAGGGGCCTGGAGGGCGACATCATCAAGCGTTCTGAGCAGAAGGGTTTCCGCCTGGTGGCCATGAAGTTCGT